TATCATATCTATTGATGTTGATATTTCATCTATTGCTAAGGTTTTTTTTTTCCATATTTGTTTGTATAAGTGTTTGTAACTGATCATATACTGGTTTATTAATGATCAATTTAATTTTTTTTAAAGGCAAAGGATTTAAATCTTGAAGGTGTTTCTGCTGTTCAACCTTGTTCTAATTTTGTTGCAAATAAAGGTGCTTCTGGTGTTAAAACTTACTCTCAAATTAATCCAAGAGTTCCAATTCATACTAGTGCGTCAACAAAATCTCCTGTTGTTATTCAACCTACTGTTCCCAGGAATGTTCAAAATCAAACTCAGAATTGTTCAAACACCAATCCAGAAATGATCATATCCAACTCCAGGAATGTTCAATCAACAAATGTTCAAGTTATTTCTCCTACGGTTCAAATAAATGATCAAGGATTTCCTGTTCAGAATGTTCAAGTTACTCCTCCCACAGTTCAAAGAAATGATCAAGGTGCTCGTGTTCCAATTCTTCAATCAAGAAATGTTCAATTAGGTTCTAAAAAGATTTCTTCTAAATATGATAGGTTGTTAGCCTTTTTTGATACAAGTGTAGCTAAACGTTTGGCTAATAAAGATAAATAATTAGTATTCCAGAACTTTATAAACATTAGACTTTTTTGTAATGTTGATTTAATTACTATTTTGTAATTTTGAATTTTCGATCTATTATATAAAAAACTTTCATTCAAAGATTAAAATGAAATATCAATTACAATAATATTAAATAAAATCCATAAGTCTACTTCTAAAAAAAAAAAATAGTCATATATAAGAAATGAACATATACATAGTTGTAAATGAACATTTGAAACTACAAAGTTGCAAATTTTCTAGCTTTCCTTCTATTTGCTCTTGATTCAGTGTTTTCTTCAAATAACATCAGTTCTGCTGTGTATTGGAGCCTTAGATTTCTAATTTGTTCCACCTGTTGAACAAAATGAATTGTCAAATTTTAATTAAACAATCTTTACTGTTTCATAAATGAATATTATATCTTAAATAATTGATCATTTATAACTCTTACATTGTTTGGTTTTAAATCACAAATCCAACTCTCATTAGGATCAGCAGTGAAGGTTTCCATATGCTTCATAATGTAAACTCCACAGTTTGTATAGTCATTGTTGCTACGCCATTTCATCTTTTCCAAAACAACTGTGTAGTCTTCAATTCTTTTTGCATCTTGATATCCAAGGTGTTTCATGTACTCTGCCAATCCTTTTAACTGATAGAAAAAAGAGTAAAAATTGTTTAGAAGTTTGTATTGTGATGAAGACATGAACAATAAATAAAAAAATAATTGATCATGTAGTCAACTATAAATGAACATATTATCTCACCATCATTTTTGGTTGTTCTTCATATTTTGCTTTGACTGATACCTTTTTTGGTAGTTTTCTATTGTCAATTATATGAATTTTGTCTTCTATATGATTGACGCACAACAGAAAAAAATGTTGAGAAGTTGATACTGGGAAGAAGACCTGAACAAATTATATAATGTTATTGGACAATATATTGAATGTAATTGAACATTTGTATTAAACAAGAATTAATACCTGTTTATATCCAACAATGCTGTCAATTTTATTCAACTTCAGTTCATTGTCAATTCTTTCTATGAAGGCATTAATTCTTGTCTTCATTGATGATCCTTCTTGACAAACTCTATTTGTGCACATAATGTGCTGTTGAAATACAAACAAACATATAGAAGTTAAATGAATTTTTAGCAATTATTTATCATAGGAAAATAGAATCAATAATATAAAAAAAGAAGAAAGACTAACATGAAGCACTGTTGAGAAATAAATCTTGTTTCTCGGCTTTTTATGATTAAGAAACCTTGCCCATCCATCTATGACACAATTTGTCACTTCAACATCATCTCCAAGAGTTTTCATTTCATTTCTATTGATGAGATTCAAGCCATCATAGTATAAGAGTGCACTGCATTATGAACATTTAATAATATGAATGTGAACATATTTTTATAAAAGATATTAAACCTTAAGTTTAATTAGTGTAAGTAATTACCTTTCATCTTTTCCACCAAGAGCAAAGTCTACTGCAATTTGGTTCATGGCTTTCTCATCTTTAAACAGATCCTTGTACTTGACCAAGTAAGGAGATCGGAAAGCAGGAGGAATTGTTTTCTTTTCGCGTTTTGGTCTTGTTGTTCAATATAAAATATTGTTAAATTAAGAAAATTATGAGGAACATAAATGAACATTTGAGTGTATATAAATAAATTTGAAATTATACCTTTCAACCTTTTCCTTTTCAGTTTTTTTCTTCTTTTCTGCAATTGACTTTTTCTTATCATCATTCCTGGTCATATTACATAACACAAATGTACATTTAGGTATATGAAAATGTTCATTATTATTTTTGAACATTTACTTAATATAAATAATGTACCTTTTTGTGACTTTTGAGGATGAAGCAACAATCTTCTTGTTTTCACTGAAAAGTGAAACAATGTCAGTACATATTAATAAAATAAAAGCTTCTTATGTAACACCCTGAATCATTTTCAATTCATAAAATGAAAGATATTGATTTAACATAAACCTATTGATTTAACATAAACCACACATTCATATTACATATTCAACAAAATAATGTTCACACATACAATAGTTTGAGAAACACCAGTTTCAAGTTACAACACGATAGTAACATAAGTTAAATTGTTCCATCTAGATATTTTATCCTACACCATTACATAACCCTAATAGTAAGACATGTCTTCAGGATTTTACCCCTCCACTTTTTCATCATTTTTTGTTTTTTCAAAAACATCTTCCTTGTTTTGTTTTCCACCTTCAACTGTGTTTTTTGGATCATCACTTTTTTCACCACCATCTGACCTAGGGTCAGCATCAACCACTGAACCAGATCCTGCATCTAAGAAAAAATTTAATTAGATATAATATAATTTCTTTGTAAATGAACATTTGAGTATTTATAATTGAACATTATACCTGTTCTAGGCAATCCTTCATTATCTGACCTAGTGTCAGCATCAAATTTTGAACCAGTTGCTGCGTCTAACAAAAAAATACAATTAATAATGAATATTTCTTGTTTGTAAATGAACATTTTACACTTTTTAATTGAACATTATACCAGTTCTAGAAAATTCTTCAATTCTTTGTTCTGAAGCTGCTGAAGTTTTACCCACATCCTTTTCTTCAGCTGTATTATAAATCATCATTTGGAGATACACTAAGTTAATAGTATTTACACATAATAATTAGAAATGAACATTTCTACTTAAGTTTATGTACATTATTATTAAATATATGAACATATTACCATTTGTTGAAATTATTGGTTGTTCAATTATATCACCAAGTGTTGAAAAGGTGGGCCCTGTTTCTGTTTAGGACAATTTAGACCACAAATTTAGAATTTTTCATATAAAAATTAGGATATATAGTCTCTTTTAGTTAGAATTTACCAATGGCTGGAGAAGGTGGAGTCAACCCCAAGCTGAAAGCTTTTCTGATGTCATATTCTTGTTCTTTTTCCTTTCCCTTTTTGGTTAATTTCTTCCCAGTCATTTGCTTCTCAGTTGTTTGCTTTTCAGACCCTTGCATCAGATTCTTCTCAGCTTGTGCAAGTGCATTTAGGAAATCCTCACTGCCAAAGAATTCTTCATCTTGGCTTAGAATTGATGGTTCCCTAGCTACCACCTTTCCTAAAACTTCATCAACTTTTTTCACCAAGTCATTTCCAGGGAAGATATCCTTTGCCTTCACCAATTTTGAAGAAAGCTTTGACAGGTTTGAACAAGTTGTTTTTACCAGGGAAACAAAATCATCCATAAAAACCTATATGAATGAATATTAAAAATTATGCAGTTGAACATTTCAGATTATACAAATGAACATTTATGTTAACAAAAGTGATCATTTTATAACCTTAGGACTTTCTTCAACTTCTGCAGCAATCCTTGGTAGAATTTTCCCTCTCCCAAATCCCAATTCTAATTCAATCTTCAACCTCTCAAGAACCATGTCTCTATTCCATGCAGATATGATAGGAATTTTTCTTGGAGGCCTTTTGTCTAACCTCTGAACTCTATCAAAATAGAACAACTACAAGAAAAAAGAAAACATGGAACAGAACATAAACAATAAAAAAAAGTGCATTTATTTAAATTTAAATGAACATTTTGTATCTAAGAATATACCATCAGAAATTGAAGAGGGCCTTTGTAGAACCCCTTGCCTTGCTGCTTTCTCCAATCAACATGACATTTGATAAGTGAGTCATATACAAACTGACACCAGTTCAAATTTTTTATGTTTTCTTTGTCCATCATAGAATAAAGAAATTTGAAAATGGCATTGATGTTTGATACACATTTCATCAAGCAGTTCACAGCCACTGCTAAAAAGTTAGTAATGAAATGTTCACTTGGTGGTCTGTTGTTGGTGAATTTATCATTTATGTATCCATTCACAATCTGCAAACAAAATGAACAAAACATTTATACTTTTGATCATTTAATGTATTTAAAATGAACATTTAAAACTGATCATACCTGACTCACTGATGGAGTTTTTCCTGACCATTGATTTTCTCCATTTCTTCAGAAATTCTGCATACTCCTCACTAATTTTATCAGACTTTGGCTCAACAATTGGAATTTCTCCTGTAGGCAAGCCATAAACTACCCTAACATCCTCTACCTCAATTTCTATTTTTTCATTCTTTGGTAGTTCAAAACACTGGCTATTTTCTTCAAAACTTCCCAATAACCAGTTACAGAACTTTTGATCAAGTTGAGGTAAACTAATGTCAAGAAGTGATCCTAACCCTATATCAACAACTTGTGTTTTGGGTAGGTGTCATCTTTTTATCCATGCAATGAACTTCACATGTCCTCCTCTCTTTGAAGATTTCTCTTCCTCAAATTCATCTTCCTGAATTTCCTCAACTTCATCAGTTTCTATTGCTTGAACCATTTCAGTTTTCATTTTCTTTTTTCTCCTACCTTCAATCTTTCCTTCATCATACAGTACCATCTTTTGCTCCTCCTTTTCAACCTTTGCCTTCACTGAATTCCCTTTCTTTGCCTGTTTCTTCCTTGGCTTTACTTCATCCTCTTCCTCCTCTTCCTCCACCTCATAATCATCCTCACTGACAGGCTCTTCTTCTGCTCTATAAACTGACTCTTCACTATCATCATCACTGTCAGTAGAACTTTCATCAGTAGGATCTTGAGAGGGTTCATCTGATGGTACTTCTTGTATTTTTTTTTCTCTTTCCAGCATTTCTCTTGGCAGGACTGACATCTGAAAATTAAATATATATAATTTTGTTTAAGTATTGAAAATGTACAGTAAGCAAATGATAAAATGAACAAAATTGTTTTCTCAAATGATCATTCTATATATAGAAATTGAACATTTATAATATATCATTATATACCTGCTTTTCTTTTGCCAGCAACCTTAGAAGTTTTCTTCACTTCTTCTAGAGTTTTCTTTTTCCCACCTATATATTGAAATTGAACATTAATGATATCCATCATAAATGATCATTCTATACATTAAGATTGAACATTTACCCTTTTTGCCTTGGTCTGGAGGATATTCAGCAGGAGCACCTGCCATTTTTTTTATTGGAGTAGGTGCTGGAGGTGGTGCATCAGCTTCCTTTTGAATAGGAAAAATTCCTTGTAGACATTCTTCTCTTCTGTCCTATTTTTGCGGTTTCTTTAGCAGGTTCAACATCCTTCTTCAGGCTTCCCTTTTCAGATTCATCTAACAGAACATCTATTGTTTTTAAAAAAAATTTATGTTAGTATATTTGAAAGTGTAATATTTATTGTGTAACAGAAAAGTATTATGATTACCTTGGCTCCTTGTAATTCTACCACTTGGCACAACAACAAGGCTTTTGTTTTTGTTTTTCCTTGCAACCATTTTGTATCTTGTTTTCATTTTGGTTGACTGATCACTTTTTTGTGATGATGGAGCTGTCTCCTCACTAAGTTTTTGTGGAAACTTTATCATCATCTTGATCTAGAAGATAAGTTTTCATCCTCAATTTGAACAAAATCAGGTGCAATTTGTGGTTGCATATGAAATGATCAAATATAAAAGATTAAATAAACATTTATTAAATTGGATGACAAATGTTTACTATATACAATATAAATGAACATTTCAGGTAATGAATATGTACATTTTCCACTATTTACCTTTCGGATCTGTTGTCTTTGTAGACTCATCTTCCACTGTTTTCTCTTTAGGGATTTTCTCCCTTTTCAGGCTCTTTTTTTTCCCTCTTGTCCTTCTATGAAAATTTAATTAGTTAATATTTATATATTTTTTTAATCTTATTGAACATTCAATATTATGTAGATCCAATATGAACATTTTATGTAATAAAAATGTACATTTATAAATTTTTACCTTCTACATTTGTTGTCTTTGGAAAGACATCTTCCACAGTTTTGTCTTTAGGGCTTTTCTCTTTTTCAGTCCCTTTTTTTCCTTCTTGTCCTTCTATTAAAATTTATTTAGTTTAAAATTTAATTTTTTTAACCTTATTGAATATTTAATATTATGCTTTTCCAATATGAACATTTTTTGTAATAAAAATGTACATTTTTAAAATTTTTACCTTTTTCCACAGTTTTCTCTTCTATTGGCCCTTTTTCTTTCTTTTTTTGCTTCACCTTCAAAAGTAATAGTATTGTTATAAATTGATATTTATGACTATTAACAAAAATATTCAATAAATATGATCATTTACCTTTCCTGATTTCCTTGCTTGCCTTTTCCATTCTTTTGAGATTTCTCATAATTCTGATTGTCGATTCTTTGTACTTTCTGTAAATGTATGATATTAACTTTGAATATATTCATTAATTGATTAAATTAATTCAATTATTTAAATTTAAACATACTTTGGGTTTCTCTCTATGTTTTAAATGTATTTCTTGCATCTTGTCCTTTAATGTTGTTATTCTTGAATCATCTTTGGGTTTTCTGATATTTCATTAAAAATATGTTTGAATTTACAATTTTGATTAGTAAATAAAAAAATGAACATATAACTTATATTACTATTGGTCATGAGCAAAACTTTTTTGTACTGATTTTCAAATGACATATAGTCTATCTAAATTGAACATTTAAGTTTTTCTTACTTTTGGCCAAGACTATTCTTTACTGGATTGCTTTGCACTTTTGTTGAACTTCTTCTTGCTTGCTGAAATCAATATTAAGAAATACTTTAAATAAAAAATGCACATAAATTGTACATAAAATATACTGTTATAAAAATGAACATTTATTTATATAAAATTGATCATTAGTATACCTTTCATCCCTACTCTCTTTGTCAGTTGTGTTATGTGTAGCAGACACACTCTTAGTTGTTGCATTAGTAGCAGGAATGTTCTCACTTTGTTCACTTAAAAAAAACAGAATTATTTTATATAATATGATATTAAAGTATGAACTAATTTATACAATGAAGAAGATAATTAGTTATTTTGTTATAAAGCTTTTATACCTTATTGTTTGATTTGTCTCTGGTGGTCTTGATTTTGACATAACAAATTTCACTCGAACCTTTTTTTTCACTAAAATTTTAAGAATTACCTAATAAGTTTGGTATATATATACAATGTACAATAATTGAATGTAAAAACAATTATTTTATACATATAAACTTACTTGTTTAAAGTGTATCTTTCATAACTATTACCATATTCATTTTGTTCTATAACCTTCTTTAGAGTTAATGGTTCAGATTTCCCATCTCTAAATTGAAGCAAGTGTATCACTCTAAATGGCACATCACTACATTATAAATTAATTACATGACATTAGTTTGAATGCATATCACTGAAATGATTATTATCATATTTATATATGTGCATGATGATTTAATGAAATGTATATTTGTTATTTAAATCTCAATGAATACTCAAATGAACAAATATACATATATGATCATAATTATATCTATAAATGAACATTATGAGTATCAAATATGATCATATACAATGATGTTTCAATGAAATGTACTTTTGTTTTTAAATCTCAATAAATACTCATATGAACAAATATAAATATATGATCATAACTATATCTATAAATGAACATTATGAGTATCAAATATGATCATATACAAATAACATATTAAACAAAGATAAAAACCAATTTTATCAAATACAACTAGCATATTAGACATGAACATAATATATTATGTAAATGACTAATTACCTTGGTAGTGGAGACATTGTTAAATCCGTACCAATTGACTTGTCAATATCTTTTTAAAAGTTCCGGATCTACAATTGGATCATTTTGGGCGGTTTTTTTTCAATTTGTCTACTCTTGACTGAAGAGGTACATCATCATCATCGTCTCTGTTTTATTTAATAAATTGTTTAATGTTTTAGTTATTTTCAGTAAAATCTTAGAACAATTACTACAATCGCAAAAATTTTTAACAAAAATTAGGTTTTACAAAATAAATTCGCTCTATAATTTTCATCGCAAGAATATGAACAAATTAGGTTTTACAAAAGTTAGAGTTCATACATTTCTTCAGAAATTTTCAACAAATTACTCGTCTTCTGAAGTATTCTTCTCCAAAATCATACTACAATTTGCAAAAAAATTGAACAAAAATTAGGTTTCACACATAAAATCGCACTATAATTGTCAATCGAAAAAAAATGAACAAAATTACTTACTCTTTAGATACATTTTGCTCCGATTTTTGCAGTTTCTTCTTTCATGTTCTTCTCTGTAGTGGTTTTTTTGCAAAATCGCACTACAATCGCAACAAAATGAACAAAATTAAGGTTTCACACATAAAATTGCACTACAATCTCAAAAAATGAACAAAACTAACGAAATTACTTACTCTTTTTTTTGTGATTGTTTAATTTCATCTCGAATATCAGACATTTGAAGCAATTATGAAGTGTTTTGAAAGCAATTTTGCAATAATTTGAAGAGAATTTCGTTCCGATTCGACGGTGTTGATGAGAGAGAAATTCTAGAGAAATGAAGAAGATGGTTTTTAGAGAGAGAATAATTTGAAATGGATAGTTTTTTTTTTTTTTTAATAATATATATGTGGGGTAGGGGAAGTTATTTCTAATTTACTGTGGTTAGTGGAGTGAGTGGGGGTAGTTACTGTAGTTTGTGGGGGTAGGGGAAAAACGCAAACGCTGCGTTTTGTAGGGGGTGTAGGTTATGGTACCTACACTAGGGTGTAGTGTATAACTAATTATATCTGTAATCGTTTTAGGTGGGCTTTGGGTTTGAACTACGGAGTAATTAATTAATTACCTGAGGCCCAAACGTTAATACTTGTAACACATGTTTTTTTTTTTTGACCAGTTAATAACACATATTTAAAAGAATTCTGTGGTATACTAGGCAATGGATAAGATAATTAAAAGTAGAAAGATTAACCTGAAATAAACATTAATTACATCGATCGACGCGTGATTTTAGCATACATTCCTAAATTAATAACATATTAGAAAAATATTTAAAGAATTATCCAATGGCCTGAAGCGTTCGTTAACAAGATCCTTCAAATAAAATAATTTTATATGTATGTATAAAAGTTCGTCTACCACTCCACTTAACATCAATATGTGCTAAGTCAAGTGAGATCGATAAACTACCGTTGTATTGCATTTTAATACCACTCCTTATTTCTTAAAGATGACAATAGAGTGAGTCAAATACGAGAACCCACCCCAATAATACAGAGATATATAGTTCTAGCCTCGTCCCACCTCTCTCAGCCCCATTGGCAACCCTACCACTAGCCAAATAAGTGTTTAAGTTAGATGTTTATGGATGTACATTGGATCATATGGCATGTCAAATCGACACATACACATGGTAATGCACCAAACATGGTTAGGAAAAGTGGGTTGTTTAAAATAATGGGTAAATGTGTATAGTAGTCAATTCGAGCTAATTCTACTAAGAAAGATTTAAGCAAGCTTAGAGGTGGGCACCGTGACGTGTCGGGCCATCGCGGGCCCGTGCTTGGTGGTGGCCTCGTGCCGTGCCTGCCAGTTCGCGGGTCGTGTCGTGCCAGGCCACAATTTGGCACACCCAAGCCCACGGCACGGCCCACGTGCCTGGCGTGTCGTGCCGTGCCGGGTAGCGGGCCGCCACTTATTTTTTATTTTTTATTTTTTTTTAAAAAAAAATGATATATAATTTTTTTTAACAACTTGTAAAATAAGTATATTTAAATAATTTTATTAATTTATGTTTATGTTTTTGTATTATCATATTGTTAATGACTTAATGTGCTTTTTATTATTATAGTTCTTTTACTCTTTATTTAGCAAAAAGTAACAATGCACATAATTAAAAAATTTACAAGTGCGATAACACAAAAATTGATGAATAACTTATTTAATTTTATTATAAGCCGGTACGATAAATCGATAATACAATAATTTATAATGATAAAATCGACAATAATTGATGAATAACTTAACTTTATAGCTTATTTTATTATATAGGGTGCAATAATACAAAAATTAGCTATAATAATCTAATTATTCTTCTTGGTCTTCTTCGTCTTCGTCTTCTTCTTCTTGTTCATCGGCCAATTGCATTGATTGAGAACTAGTAGAACCCAACGTTCCTTCATCGTCGTCATTTTGTGCATAAGTACGATCTTGGCAGCGAGTTTCGGCATCCAATCAATCCTTGAAACAAACACACATTTCAAGTGTTTCGGGTTTTAGTTTTGTTCTTCTATCGTCTAAAACCCTCCCTGATGCACTAAAAGCTCGTTCGAATGCAACAGAGGAGACTTGGATAGCATAAAATATCTCGTGCCATTGCCGCCAAAATTGGATGCTTCGAGTTTTGTGATTTCCACCATTCAATGATGTCGAGGCCGTACTTCTCTTCGTCATCCATGCCTTTCATGAAGTCGTAACTTAAATTAAGTACATTTGCAACTCCGAAACATCGCTTTGTGTTCTCCTAGATGATGATTCGGTACCTGAAAACTTAAACATCATGTTAGCAGCTTGTGCAAATAAACCTTTGGCCCTTTTACTTACATTTTTGGATGATTGAGAAGGAGAAAATCGAGTCACGGTTCCATATTTAGATTCATACACTCTATATAAGGAAAAAAATTGATCGGTTACATTTCTTTTATAAGACTCAACATCTTCTTCAATATTCATGCATCGAAAATAAATATCAATTAACAAAAATGTGCCACCATACTTTTGCCTAGGATCTAATATAGAAGCAAAAATATAAATCATAGGAATAGTAGTGTAATATTTACACCATTTTACCCCCATTGATGGAAGATATCCATCTTAATCGTGTTGTGATCGGTGTTCATCGAAAAGTTGTGCAAGTAAACATGCATTACTAAGAAAAGAATGAGCACAAGGATTATAAACAGAAGAAAAACAATGTGTCATACTATACAATAATTGTAAAAACTGCATATATTTTTCACAATTAGACCAATCATTATCTAGTAAAGCAAATTGTGGAAATTTTTTATTATAAAAAATTGTCAATGGACCCTTGTACTCAATTGCCCTAATCAACATTTCATAGGTGGAGTTCCACCTAGTTACGCAATCCGTTGATATTTTAATAGTCTTTATCCTTTTTTGCCTGCAAAAAGTTTTCCATTCCTGAAATCTCATGTTAGAACTGTTAATAGACAAAATAGCAATTCTAATTTTGTGATAAAATGGACCAATTGCTTGTGTTCCATCTTTCACACACAAGTTAAGAACATGACAAATGCATCTAATATGAAGTGCATCTCCATCTAATATGAAGTCGGTCAATTGTGTTTTAACTAAATGTGCACAAAATGTCATAGAAGTTGCATTATCAAAAGTCATAGACATGATTTTGGACCTAAGATTATATGCATCAATAGCTTGCATTAAATGATGAGAAATATTAAGACCTGTGTGGGGATATTCAAGCATTTTAAAATGAATAATGTGTTTTTGTAATAACCAATCACTATCCAACCAATGACAAGTCACACACAAATAGTGATATCCGTAACCACTATCCCATGCATCAGCAGTCAAAGAAACTCTACAAGTAGATTACTTAATTCATCATGTAACTTCATTTTGTACTCTAGAAAAGATTACATGGGAGCCGAACGGACAGTTTTTCTAGAGATTTTTTTGTGT